GTGTTTTTATCTTTGGTAGTGCTAAAGGCACTCGCCAAACGCACTCTCCACCCAACACCTCTATTTTCATTGGACCACTTTACTTTGGTGTTTTTATTTTTATTATTATTATACAATAAAAGTCAATCATCTCTCATTCCTTATCTCACTCCACCCACCCCGTTGCATATTATGTGATTTAAATTCAAAATCTATTACTTCCAGCAAAAGAAAATGACTACTGAATTATTTAAATCGTTAGCACTTTACTTTAGTTTTAAGAGGTGAGCATCTTTTTCAATCCTTTACCTTTCATTGTCTTAAATATGGGTGGACACATTTTTGGATATAATCAAATTATTCGAATTTTTTATTTAAAATTTTAAATTCTAATTTAGATACTTTAAATATTTAGACAAATTCAAATAAAATTAAAATGGTAAAAATTAATTTTGGTTCAAATATGAATAGTCACTCATATTTAAAATTATTAATATGAACCACTAAATTATTTGAGATTATTCAAAAATCTTTAATATAAATTTATTTTATTTTTTATTTTGATTTTTATGTTATATGAAACTTTTTTTAACAAAATTATTTTTTATTAGTCAAATTTATAGATACAAATATAAAGAAAAAATTAAAAATAATTAAAACTAAAAAGAAAAAAATAATAAAAAATGAGTGATACTATAGAAATAATATTTTTATTTCATATTTTTATATAATTTTTACATGTTATTAAATGAGTAGATACATTTAATATCATGAATCTCACATAAATTAAAAAAATAAATCATTTTAATAACACATTAAATTATAAAAATAAAATAAAAAAATTATATAAAAAACATTTCCACCTTTTACTTTTATATAAAATTACGATTCAATTGATAAAATCCACGTTACCGTTGCTGACGGTGGGTGAGTGGCCCCTTCCCCAGAATAAAAAACGGGCTTTGGTGCGTTCTTTTCACTATTTGTGTTTTTATCCTTGGTAGTGCTACAGGCACTCGCCAAACGCACTCTCCACCCAACACCTCTA